GGGGACCAGGGAAGCAACGATGGGCTTTTATGGACAGAAGAAGCAACAGGAGAGTCTTAGATGAGCTACTAAAGCTCCTTGAAAGGATCATAGCAAAACGGGGATTTGTGGTCAGAATTTAGGCGATTAGACCCGGGAGCAGGTGCCTCTGTTCATTGCTACCGAGGGTTGTAGGTGCTGTGGGGAACCTAGAGGTAAATGGGATGCAGACCCCAAGAGGCAAGAAAGGGCGAGGGACACTTTCACAGGCGCTCCACGCTTAGGTCGTGGTCGTAGTTAGCTGAGCTCCAGGCCCAAGTGTCCCAGTGAGAGAACTCAGCCTCCCCGGGTCCAGGAAGATGCCCTCCGGCACCGCTTCCCCACCCCCCACCCCCGCCGTTCACCGAAGAGAAACCGCACCAGGCAAAGGGTTGCAGCCACGGGCCCTGACACTGCTGCTCGGGGTCAGAACCCAGCCCTGCGCTCAGCGTGGTCCCGGCTGGCCTTGACCGAGCTGAGGTGTCTGAAGGGGGTCTGTGCTGTGCCTGCCTCCCCTCGTGGACAGCGGGCGGTGCCCCGCCTCTCCTGATGGCCCGTGCCAGGCGGCTGGAGCACAACGGTGCAGGCCCTGATGTTCACATGTGGTGTCGCCGGCTGTGTGGTGCCCCCAGGGGAAAGGCCAGGTCTCATCCTGAACCGGAGAGCAGGCCTGGCTGGGGAGAGGGCCTCTGTGGATGTGGTACCCTCGGGAACTTTGGGATGAGATCATCCGGGCTGGTCCACTCAGGCCTAAACCCAAGGACAGGTGTCCTTACAAGACACACAGGTGAGAAGACACAGAGATGGGAGTGATGTTGCACAGGCCAAGGAAGCCAGAAGCTGGAGCAGCCAGGGGCGATTCTGCCCTACAGCCCCGGAGTGGGGGGCGCTGCGGCACCTGGTTGTGGGCTTCTGGCCTCCAGGCCGCGAGGGAGTAAAACTGGTGTTAGCAGTACTTACACCAAGGCTCGCTCACTTGTCTCAGCATCTGGGAGCGAGTGCACACTCACTGTGGGGGAGGGGCTAGGGGAGCGTGGGGTGTCTAAGGAGGGCCAGGAGCCGAGCATGCTCCGGGGACCTATGGGCCAGGGACCGCCATGTGGCCCGTGAAGAGCCAGTTGCGGGACGGGCTGCCCTCAAGGGAGACTCGAGTTGACCGAGCACTGACTTCAGGCCGGATTTTGATGTAAACGCTGAGGTGGCTCCTACCACCCCCGCTTACCGATCCCACACCCATGAGAGCCCGATGGGTCAGCAGAGAGGCTGTGGCTACTTTGCATGACCCTGCCCCCTCCGGTGGACCAGACCCCCTGAGGCCTCACTGACCCTGGCCCAGCCCCCAGGGAGACTGAGGAGCCTGTCCGGCCACCGGGCAGCATCAGCCCGGCGCCTGCTGGCACGAGGCAGCATCTGCCAGGCCGCGTGTGCCCGAGGGTGAATGGGCACCTGGGGAAGACTTCAGGGAGGAGGGGGCAGGCGACGAGGGGACAAGGCCGTTTCCTTCATGGACGACAGGCAGAGGCCTTGAAGCACCGGGGCTGGAGGCCAGGTTCTCTCTAGAGGACACAGAGCAGATAGGGAAGAGGAGGAGGAGGGGGAGGAGGAGGAGGAGGAGAAGGAGGAGGAGGAGGAGGAGGAGATGGGGGGCAAGCGGGAGGAGGAAGCCTCTTCTGCTGCCAGCTTCTCTCTCCAGCCACAGGAGGTCTCCCCTGGTATTTGCAGGACTGATGGCAGGGGCATGGGCACAGTGGTTGGGAACTTGAGCTCTAGATCCAGCCGCCTGCTGTGTGACCTTGGGCAGGACCCCTGGCCCTCTAAGAGCTAAGGGATATAAAGGCGACCCTGCTTGCGGTGTGGCGACAGTGAAATCAGAGAGTGACCGACTCCCTCTCGCTGCACCCGCACAGACCCGCGGGCACTCCGCACAGCCTTGTGCTGCTATCATTAGTAAGCCCTGGAGTGGTGGGCATTATTGCCCCAGTTCTGCAGACCTGGTACAAGCTAGGATTCGCCCTGGGTATGTGTGGTTTCCAAGCCCCCCATCCTTTCCCTGGCACCACAGCCCTGAGGGCCCGGCCCCCTGAGAACTGACGTGTGCCCGTCCTGTCTCTGCTAAGGCCCGGGCAGGGCTGCACGAGGGCTGGAGGCAGACAGCCCGCTCTGCAGCCGCTGGACAGGGAGCTGGTGGCCTGTGGCAGGCGAGGGGCTCTATCTAGCCAGGCCCGGCAGCTCTCGGCTGTGCTCTCACCTGGAATGCGCAGTGGCACTGCCAGGCAGCCCACCGTCTGCTGCCCTGGCACCTTCGTTTGTATCTTTCCTCTGAAGCCTCGGCTGCTGCACGGGCCCTGTGGACCTGAGCTGTGGGCTACTGCGGGGCTTGGAGGGGAAGGGGAGGGTGGGGTTATGGCTTTGGTGAAGTGGAGGAATGCAGAGCTGAGGCCGGGCTGGCCTCCCCGCCCTATTGGCAGCAACATGCCCACCCGCTTGGCCTGCTCGCTGCGGACATGGGGCCGGGGGAGGGGCACACAGGCCCTCAGAGGACAAGGGATGGACGTCAGGACACTGAGGGGAACTCCTCAGGCCGGGCGGTAGGTCTCTTTTTTCTTCCTTTGCCAGATCCTGACGGCTTCTTTCTTTCTCCCTCCTCTCTGCCCACAGTGGTCCATGAGCACCTCAAGGAGAGGGGGCTGTTTGGCCTCCCCCCGGCAGGCACCAACCCCTCCGACTATTACCACCAGGTGGCCCTCATGGCGGGCCACCCCACATCCTACGGGGACCTGCTCCTGCAGACGGGGGGCGCCACTGGCACCCCCCATCTCCACGACTACCTCAATCCAGTGGACGGTGAGTGCTGGGCCAGGTGGTGGCAGGGGCAGGATGGGATGGGGCTGACGGTGCCCCCAGGGGCTGAGGCGGGTGCTTGCTGCTCCTTTGAGGGTAAGGAGCCCTAAGGATGGTTCTGGATTTACCCCAACCCCTGCCAGGACTGTGTCCACAGGGGCCAGGCCTGAGCCACTCACACAAATACTCAGTGAGTGTCTCGGGGATCGCAGACACTGCGGGGGATGAAATACACACCTCTGCCTTCGGGGACAGGCGGGCAAAGCTGGAAGGGGCGGCCGCGTGCAGTGCGGGCGCAACTTTAAATGAGGAAACCGAGAAACCTTCACGGGGGAGGTGATATTTGAACAAGAATTGAAAAAAGTGAGCCGTGCGTACATATGTGGGCAGAGTGACCCAGCGGGTGAACAGCAGGTGCGGGGCCTGAGGCAGCCAGCCTGCGGAGCTCACGAGGCGGCCGGGAGGCCCGTGCACCTGGCACCCCGTGAGCCGGGCAGCAGGGGGCTGCCACGTTCTGGGGCTGCTTCTGCAGGCTGCTCGGGGCTTGATACGACGTTGGCTTTCGTGGGGAGTGGGATGGGGCCCTCAGAGAGGGTTGGACAGAGGAGTAACGAGGTCCGACATATTTTAAAAGGAACCTCACTCTGACTGCTGCTCTGAGGATAGACGTAGGAGCTGCGGGGAAGCAGCAGTGGGTTAGTAGAGGGAAAGGCGGTCATGTATCGGATAGATTTAAGGTGGAGCTGGAAGTTCATTGCCAGGTCAGATGTGGAGTTAGGGAGGGAAAAGGGACAGCCCCAGGGACTTGGCCCACGCAGTTCCATCTGTGGGCTGGGGCAGAGCCATGCCCTCACTCCTGAGGCCTGGCTGCGTCACACCCCCTCCAGGAGGCCTGCAGACGTGCTCCCCACCCCCGCTGGCTTTCCTCTCTCTGCCCGCTCAGTGCGCACTCGCAGGAGCCATCGGGCGGTTTCTGAGCCCCTGAGCCTTCTTGTCCAAAGAGTGTGCGGGCCGAGCACTGCAGCCTCCCCTCATTTATTGTCCGTGTTACTCTCGATGCTCCCTGAGGGACGTGATAGGAAGTTACTCCCTGGGTCTGCCCCCCACCCCACCCCGCACCCCCTCCCCATGCTTCCCCCAGGGCGGTATTTATCCAGCACTAGGCAAACGGTGTAGAGAGTGAAGCCCAGCCTGCTGGCCCAGTGTGTGCTCGCCACGTGCTCCCTTCTCTCCTCCCGCCATCCCTGCGGGGGCTCCCATGGGAACCAGAGGGTGACAGCAGGTGGTGAGGTTGTGCACCCGTGACCTGACGAAGCTAGAAACCAGACAACCACATACAGTGCATAAAACTGGACAGTGTGTCCCAACAGCCATGTCCTACTGACAGGTGACCCCAAACCAGTCCGACCTCCCAGGGCCTCAGTGTGGACGGACTGGGCCAGCTGGACGGTGGGCAGGCACAGAGAAACTGGCCGCAGGGTCAGGTGGAGCAGGTGTCCCCCAGGGCAGGAGAGGCACGAGCACCTGCTGTGAGGAGAATTGCCTCTGACTTGGGCCCTCCCGTGACACCCCAGCCACCTCCTGAGGCTGGAAGTATACCCCTACTTAAAATGAGCCAACGGGTTCCCAGCCCAGGTGACATGCCCAGGTGGCGAGTCAGGGTTCCAAGCCCCGATATGTTTGTCACTGGCATCTTTGGCTTTTCCTGGGCCCACCACCTCCAGTCAGCCCGGCACATCTGACCAGCCGGTGAGCCATGGCCTCAGGGAGAGCCCCCTGGACCAGCTGTGCTCCAGCTCAGCCCAAAGCAGCTGGGCCACACCAGGGCGCTTGTCAGGGTGGCGGTGAGCAGTGAGCTGAGGTGGGACCAGGAAGGTCTGGGCAGTGACACCAGCCCTGCGTGCTATGTGAACTGGATAAGATCTTGTGTGTGAACCTGTCTTGGTGCCTGGCCTGTAGTATGTGCTCAGTTAACGGTAATTTAAATTCTTTCCACCAGTATCTTTTTCCGTCTTTCAAGTGGGAAAGATGAGGCTGGGGGGAAGACCACTGGAACCATGTCACAGTTTGAATGTCACCCCGAGGGTGACTAGGAGCCCAGGGTGTGACTGCCGAGTGACCAAGGGGATAAGTGATCAACGAGAGGCAGGCAATGAGCCTGAGCCGAGAGGCCGTTCTGGGAAGGTGGGCACACAGCACTGCCGCCACCACTGCATCTAGACTCCCCTGGACAGCTCCCCGCTCCTGCCTGCAGTGCCCTTCCTGCAGGCCGGCCTGGCTCCATCCTGCACGGTGTCCTAGGACCCGGGTCAGTTGGCACATCTCCCAGGACAATGCCCCAGTCCTGCCCAGCCCAGCTGCCAGTCCTCCATGCCCGCCTCGGGGGGCCCGAGGAGCTCCGACTGCACTGGCTGGCACTTCTGTGTCTACCCTCTGGGTCTGAGCATGGCTGCCAGGGAGCAGACCTCTGCGTCTGTGGGTGAGCACACGCGTAAGTGGCAGTCACAACGCACCTGGGATAGGAAGATGCAACTCATTCGGGAAGAAACAGCTGGAAAAGAGCTGTCAGCTGCAGGGCACCGGACGGGCT